GCTTGGGGAGTTTGAAGCTTGAATTGAACAAATTACAAAATTGTTTATTTTATAAAATTGATTGATAAGTTGTTTAATATATTTATTTAATTTAGTATATTTTTTATTCCCAGACCTAAGCATTGTAAATAAAAATTTTAAAACCAATCAAGCAATGAATTTAGGATCTTAGGAACAAGTGCTGTTAGTCGTTAGTGTAGTAGTAGTATGTAGTAGTGTAGTGGTTGGTAGTTTCTAGTAGTCTAATCTGTTAATGTTCTTTAGTGTTGTTATTTATTTAAATTAGTAATTAGAATCAGTAGAGATTAGTTTTAGTTTAATTATTAAAATTTAGTAATTTAATTACTAATTAGTCGTCGTTTAGTGCTGTTACAGTTAATTAATGAGTTAAGTGTTGTTGGTGGTTCACAAAAAAATTTTTTTATTTAAAATGCAAAAAGATACTTAACCGTCATACAGCAATATCTATCCTAAAACAGCATCTAGTATCACCTTTTAAAACATTTTGAAATTTTAAATAAAAGCAATATTCCGAAATTAGTAAATATACGATCGTAACTTTTGATTTGGGCGATAAAAAATCACTCTCCAATTTTCCTCCAAAATAAAGCTCCTTGTTCGATCGTCAAAAATGAGCGAAGGCCGTTATATTTATTCTAATTATATGGTTACACTTTCATAATTTTATCTGTACTTGTTTTATACTTACATTAACTTTTAAATTTCATTTTTAAACAGTAAAGATACGAAACGAGCGTGATTTTTAATCGCGATATTATAAATAAACAGTAACACCGATAATTGTGTAAAAAATGTGCTGATTAAGTTTTCAAATTAGATAAACTTTTGATCTATTTCAATTTATTTGTCATTAAATTTTTTTATAAATTTGATGTGCAGTAGTAATAATAGTCTATTAATTTCTTTGAAAATTGTTCAGTTGTTCAGTTGGTTGTGTCACCAAATACTGACTCATAATATAATAATAATACAATACAATTCAATACAATACACCAATACTGCCAACATCAACCACGGAACCAAAAAGTTTGAAAACCACTGGTGTGGTGCAGCTCTCTTCTCTAGCCTACCTGCTTCTAGCTCAAGCATTTCTAAAACAAAAATAAAATTGATGATGAACGCCGTGCCTGGTGGTTATGAGGATGAGGAAGATGAAGATGATGTTGATTTCAGTTTTCTAACTCAACAGATTGTCGATAGCAATGCCAATGATGATAATGATGATGATGATGATGAATTTATTGACAAGAAATATATGGTTTAAATTTATATTTTTATATACTTGAAAATTTCATCATATTTGTTTTTTCTTGTAACGGTCTGTCTATGAATTTTCACAAGGCAATTTATTTATGAATGTGCAGATTACTAAAAAAGAACTCGTAATTGCAAAAGATATTTTCAATGAAAACCTCTTAAACTATTTCTGGAAACCCAAAAATCCTGAATATGTTCCTTATTTAAGATGTAGAATGGATAACACTATTTTATGGCACCATGATTTGAAAATGGCAATTAAGACTAACAATGTCAAACTCATTAAGAAGTTCATTGATAATGGTTGCTAAATTTTTTCATTGCATATTTTTATTTTTTTTTTCTAGTCAGTTTTTTCCTTAGATGACATCAATTTATTTGTAATTGAGTCAATTAAAACATTTAAAATTATTACATTTGGTTGTAATCTTAATTCTTACCAGATTAGTAATTTTTTCATGAATATTACTGATGAATGACTTCATTAACACTCTATATAACCAGGTGTAGATCAGAATACAGCAATCGACGAAAGGAACAAAACTCTAATTGATTATGCATTTTTTTATGGCTCCTTGGACTCTTTAGACTACATACTCAATGCATTCCACCTGTCACTTGGTATGTTCAACTCTAAAATAAAAAACAGTTTAATGCGTGGTGTTAGAAAAATTTTCTCTTTTATAGTTTCTCAATTTTAGGTTATTATTGGTAAATTTAAGTAATTAAGTTGCATCGTCAATGAGGTCAATGATCAATTTGTATTTTCACATCTAAATTTGTATCATTCATTGAAATTTTATTTAATTGATTTTTATTTTAATTTAACAAAAATATAAAATTGCTTTATTTATTTATTAATATTATTTTTTATAATTTGACATGGAACAGATGGATTCCGGGTACATGTTTCAATTGGTTCGTACATTTCTGGTTGTTACAACAAAGAGAATGTTGAGAAATGTCATGACTTGATGCTTAAGTACAACATCCTTCAGGAAAGAAATAACGAGTAAGAGACTGTTCATTTTATATTCATATTTTTGTTGTTGTTATTTTTTGCAATTTCAAACATCTGACATGTTTGAATAACTTTATAATTATATAATTATAAAACAATTCTACTGTGGACTGTTCTATATGAAAGATTTTCATTTTGACAGACCTGATGTATCCGCCAATATTGAGCATGAATCTATGAAAAAGTTGAATGTTGGGGAGGAAGTTGATGATGTTGTTGCTACTTCAATAATGTAAGCTTCTTTTCTCACATTTATTCTTCATCTCATTTCATTTATTCATATATTTGCAAAACTAACTCATGATATCCCATTAATTTTAAAATTTTTTACTCTTTTATCTTTTCTTCTAAATATGTAAATATAGTTATTATTAATATATTTCAACATTTTTAATATATTTATACACAGGAGTTGGAATAATGGGACCAGCATATTTTTGAAGCACATCGGACTAAATTCACTCGTTCCAAAGTTTGAGCATATCCCATTCTTGCAGTTCCTACTTTTTCAGTTGGATGATCTTAAAAAAGTAGTTTTTGTATAGCGTTTTATGCATCTATTTCCAATATTTGATTTCAAATGTTCTTTCACATTTTAATGTCTTTTTTATAGTACAATTTTTTAAACTCTATAATGGTTTTAAATTTGGCCAGTCATTTAAGAATGTATTATATTTTATTTATTGTTGAAATTATAATCAAGAAATTTAAAGTTTCCAGGACAGTATCACTAACTTGTTAATTTAAAAATTATACAGTTAGACCTTAAGGCCCCAAAAACAGAGATGTACATTGTAAAGTCTTTAATATTGTTTCATGTTAAATCTTGGGAATCTCCATTCACTCAAGATCCTGTGATGAAGAAATTTATGAGGTTGTGCACACATTCTCTGCTTCATGTTGTGTCCATTTGTTTTCTATAATCAATTGTACGTCCTACCTCGGGGAACCGGGACCCTGGACACAAAACAAAGATTGATTGATTGATTAGTTGTATTTGTTTTGTTTGTGACAATAATTTTTTGAAACATGTTATAATATTAGCTTGTTTTTACTCCATAGATTTTATTATACATCAAATCATTTAATTATGAAGAATAAAAAAATAAAATAATTTATTCAGTCAAGAAAATTTGTTGAGACTAATAAATGGAATAACTTTTCATTTGGAAGTGAACAGATGCTCCATCCAATATATTGATAACATTCTCAAGTCATGTGACAATGAGGTAATAATTTTTCTAGTCCTTATATTATAACATTTATTCTCACTTTATTTCTTCACTTTTACTTTGTTTAAATATATGAAGTTAGCAACTTGTGTACTACGACAAATATATGTCTTTATGAGGTTTCTAATCAAACGTTTTAAAGTTGTTAATTGTTTTTATATTCCTTATTGTAGGTCTATTTGGAGTTGAAAATCGAGAAAAATCTCAGTTTTGAGCAGATAAAAAAGAACAAAGAATCTTTGTGTGAAGAATACAACAAGTTGAAGAAAAAATTGTTGAAAGTAATGTTTTAATATCATTTAATTAATCTTAAAATTTGAATTGTGATCTAAACTTACAAGGTTTTGTTTAACCTTGATTATAATATGTAACATTTAGAAAAAATTTGTTTGCAAACGCAGGAATTGAAAAGGAGAGAAAAAACGTCAACCGCACCTGATCTTATTAAGTTTGACAAACAAAGCTACCAACGAACGGATTTAAGAAGATTCAAGAATGCTTTTTGTTACTTCATTCTTCCTTCATTGATCATTTATTCTCTTTGGAAATTTAAAAGATGAGTCTAATTTATGAGGATTGTTTCAACAAAGTTATCAACTTGTCAATACGTTGTTATCATTTTTGAAAAAGATGTGTTGCTACTTCCATTTGGACTCTAAGGTTGATTATATCATTATATCAGCTGGACACTGTTTCAACTAAATTAGTTATTTATCTTTGCTTTTTATGCATTTTTTTTTTTAAGCTTGTATAAATGTTTTAAATTAATTTAAAGAACGATCACGCAGTCTCTGATGAACGCTACTAGATTTGCTATCGTTTCTGTTGTAGTATTTATTACTTTCGTAATTTTTCTGTGTAAATTTATTTTTGTAATTTTTGCTAAAATATTTCAAAAATGAAATGCAATGAAATAATTATTTGAAAATTTAATTCATGCTGCATTTTAACTTTTTTTGCAGAAAAATGTATTTCGTGAAGTCTTACCGTTGAAAGTCTATGTATGCCTTAACTTTAACAAAATTGTCTTTAATTATATCAATTAGTTTTCTGATCTCTTATATACTCGAGACCGCAGTTTCAAACTACACTACAAAAAAGCCAGTAGAGTAATGAGAAACTACTCGACTAAACACGGTTGTAACGCTAAGTGCACAGAACAATCGATCAGTTATTATTGATCTGGAATTTTTGATCAACGAAATTCAATATCGTCTAATCAAACGCTCGATATATAATTCCGAATATAAAAGTAATTTACGGGTTATATTTGCGTTTGGCTCCGACGTTTTAAAGTCCAGTACAAACTTTTGATCCAGCGTATGGCGCTGATTTCCAGCTTAACCAACGACATTTGTAATAATAAGCTCAGCTCTTTATTTTGTAAACAGATTAAATGTTGATTTAAGTTGCAAATCTCGAACAACCAATCCTTGCTATCTTTAGCTAGAAAAAGATACTGTGGTAAGATGAGAAAAGTTTTTTGTACTGTGGGGACTACAAGATTTGATCAACTTGTTAATACTGTTTTGCACATTGACACTTTAAAGGTTCGTAATCATTTCTTCTCTACATCTACAACTTTCTTGTTTGAGTTTTTCTGTTTTTCAGTTTTCACTCTTGTAATTGTAGTTATTTATAATTATTTATTTTATTACTGTTTGTGTTTATTAGTCTAGAAAATTTAAAAAACAGTGAAAGCTTTCAAATCTTGATGTTTGTATGATATATTAAAAGTAGGCATTAAAGAAACTCGGCTACACACAATTAGATGTGCAAATTGGTTCCTACCAAGGTGGTGATGGAGACAGTCTCCCAAACATTAATCATCTTGACAGGTTTGCAGTTGAGTGCTTCAGATATAAAGATTCAATCGCCGAATACATAAGAGATGCAAGTCTGGTTATAAGTCACGCTGGTAAGAAATACTTGGCATTAGTTATAATTACATATAATTTTAAAATTTTGTTAAATTTTCAGCTGGTTGATTTGTTTTGTAACATTAAGTTATTGTGAACAGTATTTCCATTTGAGATTTTATTCATAACAATATTCAATTTTATTTTATTTAAATATGTGTTATATTGTTTTTGAAAAAATTTTTATTTGAGGCGCTGGAAGTTGTCTGGAAGTCTTGGACAACCATCGACCACTGATTGTGGTCATCAATGAAGATCTTATGGACAACCATCAAATTGAGTTGGCACAGCAGCTGCAAGATGATGGACATGTCTTCATGTGCATGTGCAGGTTGCCTGTTTAAAATATTCTGCTTGAGAGTTTTTTGTCAACGATTCATTAATCATTGACTTGTAATTTTTTTTATAATTTTGAATGACCATTTAAAAAGTTGCACAATCAAAAAACTTTTCAAAATTTACTTAATTTGAAATGTACATTGTGAAACTGATTGACCACTAGTAAAATATACTTTAAATGTTTTTAAATGATATGGTTTGTGAAAGACAAAAAAGTTAAAATGTTATTATAAAAGTTATTTTGCTGAATATTTGGAAGAACATTGGTTGAAACACTGACTCAGAAGAATATAAATGACTTGAAAGAATTCCGTGAAGGAGATCCAAACTTGTTTGTGTCTTTTCTAAACAAAACCATCAGGACAACATGAATCAATGCAGCTGTTTATTAATAATGTTATTTTTTTTTATTTATTCATTTGTTTGTTAATTAATTTTTTTAAACATAAAGATAATCTTTCTTTAAAAGTTTAGTTTTTATAATAATGAATAATAATAATATTAATTAAAACACTTTGTAATATAACAAATAATTTTATTTCGAACACCACTAATATAAAACATAATTTATGACGACAATCATTTGAAAATGTTCACAGTTCAAAACGCGGAGCGACCCTCCAATTTAAGATAAATTCATTTTTACAAGTCTTCATGCAGTATAAAAATAATTTCAAACGGCAAAAAATAATGTAAGCTGATGCAAGATTCACGAAAAATAATATTAAAATGAAATTGTACGACAAAATGACACATGTGACTAACTGGTCAACGAAAAGCGTGAACTGAGTAATCGTGAAACATTTTTAAATGTGGAATATTTGAACATTTGTATAAATGTCTATTGAAAATAATAGCACGCAACGTGTTTTACGTACTGTTAATACGTTCATATTTACGATAATCAATGCTAGCTTGATGAGGAATATTGTGGAAAGATGTTTTTAAGGATTCCATAAGAGACAGATGTTCGGAGAAATAAATGTTAATACTTATTACATAATATTTGATTATGTCCGCCAGTTAATTTTAATGAAAAATATCTAACAAACGTTACTCGTATCTAAAAAAAAGCGAACGCATAATGCTAATATAAAAATAATTTAGTTGAATTCAAAAGTAACCAATTGTTCATTTTACGAAAACGTTTTAAGCAATTACAAAAAGATATAGCTTGTGGACTTAAAAAACTAACTAAAAGGATACGCCAAAAGCAACGTATCTCTTTAAAAAACATAAAAATAGAAACTTGATTGTAGAACAACTCATAAAACGTTAACAAAATGTAGTAGAATATATAAACCATGTGGGGCAAAATTGTTTGGAGGTCATTAACAAACTAATAATTTAGAACAAATAATGGAAACTGATATTAAGAAAGACATCATTCGTCTTATAACCATTCCTAACAACCTTTTATACTTCCATCTATGGTGTTAATTTTAAAACACCGAACAAACAGATTTTATACTAATTAAAATACTTAAGAAAAATAGCAATATAAGTATAAAAGGTGAATAAGGTAGATTGTTTTGGTCCTGTTCTAGTATACTGAGATGATGAAGATGTGAGTAGCTGATAAAAAAATACTAAAAAGGTCCATTGTTCATTGTATTGCTCACGTGAACGGTGAGTGATATGATGATGGAAAGATTTGCGAAACAAAATGATGATGATGTTGAAAAATATGTAACGCCAGTGATGATGACGACGATACGTCTGATGATCACAAACAAAAAAAACATAATAATGTAAATAAAAATAATAAACAACTTTTTTGCTTCTGGCAATGTAAAAATTTGAGAAAAAACATTTAAAATGTTAAAAATAGTGTTTAAACCTCTTGATTAACAAAAAGGCAAATAATGAACGAAAAAAATATTATGACGAAATGAATGTGACGTTTGATCACAAAAACGGACAATAACGTTAACAACAGGACGACATTAATAAATATAGCATTCACGATGCTGACATAGGATCTGAACAACATAAAATGACAATATCAAATGATAAATAATGAATAGAAATATGCATAAAAGTTGAAAAATAAAATCTTCATCTGCATTTTACAGATTACAAATATATATTACAAAAACATATGAAAGTGTGTGTATGCCTTTGTTATGTACTCCATGAAACACATGTATAGTACAACAACGTCCAGGTTTCGTTATAGTACTGTCAATAACATTAAAATTTGACTTGAATTGATTAGAACTCCAATGACTACAAGGACACGACAAATGATTATTTGTTGAATTATAAAATACTGTTTTGAGTTTTTTTTGCAATTCCGCTGTATGCTGTTGAGAGTCGAGTTGCTTCTTGCGATATTAAGAAAGATCACTTCCATGTGTTCTTCTTTCATCTATTTAATCTGGAAAATTATCAAAAATAAAATAAATAGAGACAGGCAACCTTTTGAGAAATGTAAGCAGCTATAAAAACGGCGAAGATGAGTGTTCAAATCTCAACTGATTAGTTAGTTATTAGACAAATAAAAAAAAGAACAAAATTAGATGAGCAGAAATGCAGGAGACATGGAGACAGCAGACTAACTGAGATGCAGATGAGGATGACGAATCTCCGGACTGAATGACTGGTGGATGAGGAAGAGAAGGTGGAAGAGATCTTTTGCAACTTGCGCTAGTTGTGGCAGTGGTGCATGGTGTTGCAGCAGCAGCAGATGTCGAGGCGACGGTGTCGGCAGTTTGTTGGTCGCTGTGGTTTGTGCTGCTAATGTGGCTGCAAATGTTGGAGTCTATTTCCCGGTGGACATGATTTTCTTCTGAAAAAATAATTTACACAAAGTCATCAAAAAATCCAATTCCATTTTATGGAATATAATTCGACTATTTAACGCATTAACCGAAATTAAATATTTAAAAGAATGATAATCTACCAGGTTGCTTGGAATCGTTGATGTCGACATCAGCTGGCTCACTGTATATATGTTCTTGAACATTCCATGGCGAGTCATCGTCATTTCCATAAGCTCGGTCACTTTCAAATTCATCAGCATCTTCATCGTCGTCGTCACTTGAAGTGAAGTCCTGGTAAAAATGTCCGTCAACAACTGACAAATCACTATCTTCTGATTCTGCAAGGTTCAATTGTTGTTGTTGTTGTTGATGATGATGATGACGATGACCACGATGACGATGTTGCTGCTGCTGCTGCGGAGGAGGAGGAGGAAGAGGAGGAGATTGTGGCTGACGATGACGACGACGTTGAAGTTGACTGTCGTCATGAACATCAACTACATCTAAATGATGAGAAAAAATTAAAACATTACTATAAGCTATGGAACAACCGCTGTCACCTGTACATGTATATATGAGTGAAAACGTCGAGATATGAGTAGAATCATAAAAAGAGCACCAATTAAAATATACGCTAATTATAAAGAAAATTGCAAAATGGCTAAACGTAGAACATTCTACTTTGAAAGAAACTACCGCTTATTTGAAAATAAACTATTAAAAATTGAACAAGATGAACAAAAATCCACCCACGTTTCAGGTATCCATCTTCCTTATCTAGCTGCTGATGCGAAACACATTCCTCATTATCGCCATCAGCGTCTGCATGCGTCGTCAACTCATCACCGTCCCTCTTGCGGTTCAATTCGTCGCTGCTGTGCGGCTTCTCCTGCCCACCACGCTTCTTCTTACCACCATGTCGACGACGACGACGACGATGATGACGACGACGATGGTGATGTTGCAATGACGACGACGACGATGACGACGGTGAATGATTGCAGTCATCCAGCACGCTGGGATCATTGTAGGATGTGCCTGAACGCTATCAAGACATCACAACAACCAGCATTACTGGTTCTCATCACCATTCAAGAAACAATTATTAACTGACGATAACCTCCGATGAACAAGAACATCATTAAAAAATAATACACATACTAAAAACGTGGAAACGAATGTAAAGAAATAGCATTGAAACAACAGCAAGAACAAGAGTCTCACTGATTTATAGCACTTCCTAGCAAACGTTTGAACATCATCAGCTCCTGTCAGACCAATGAACTTGTACCAAGCATAATTTAACTGGCGTTGAGTCTGCGTTGTTATGTATTCGATACATCTTTAATTAAGTAATTAATTTATCTATTTTATTTATTATTTATTTATTTATTAAACTCCAACCATCCAACCATCCAACCAATCAAACACCAACTAATCAAACATCAACCAACCAAACATTGATTGACCAACCAACCAACCAAACAACCAAACAACCAACCAAACAACCAACCAAACAACCAACCAAACGATTATTGATTGAACAAATATATACAAACAAACCTCAGCACTGAACACTAGGAAAGCAACAATGATGAATGAGGACTGCAGCAAGAGGAGCGTTACGAACATGTACCTGTCACCACGGTGTGTATAAATAAATATGCATCTCAAACGAACAATGTCAGTCAGCTAAGAACTTTTTATGAATGTTTAACTACAAATTTCAACTTTTGGATGATTGGGTAAATGTAAAGTTTGTTGCTGTTGTTGTTAAACGAATATTATAAAAGTTTAATAAGAAAAAAAACAACAAATTAAAAAAAAGACATAAAAATTTAGCAATAGATTTGAAATAACAAATTGTGACTGACAAAAAAAAGAAGAAGCATGACAAACAAAGATTAGAACCTGTAGGCTGGAATGCGGGAAATGTTAACAGAAAGGATGAAGAAGGTGCTTGTGAAGGTCATTAAGATGAGCAGGATGCCGTTTGCTTGCAGGCTGTATCTGTGTATGCGTGTGTGTATGTGTCCGTGTATGTATATGTACCTGTGTGTATTTATCTGCTGTATCTGTGTATGCGTGTGTGTATGTATCTGTGTACGTATATGTATCTGTGAGTATATATCTTTGCGTGTGTGTTGTGTGCATATATGTGTGTGTGTGTGTCTATAAAAACAAACTTTTATAACTTCACATTCTACAAACACAAATCAAGTCATTTTATTAATACTAACATTATTAAATAAATTTACCCAAAAAATCGAACAAACGAACGAACGAACAAACAAACAAACAAATAAACAAACATATTAATAAAAGCAAAAATGAATGCAAGGAGTAGAATAAAAATGGTCATCTCACTTGAAGTAGTTAATGTCGACGTCAGCATGCCTCAGCGTTCCTCTCCAGAGGTGGTATACTGACTTCAACAACAATGCCAACGTGGACTGAGTGTGTGAGTGTGCGTTTTTGTACGTGTGCTCGCGCGTGTGTGTGCGTGTGTGAGTACGTGTGTGTGTGGGGTGTGTGTTTGCAAATACTCATTAAAGTTTCTAATCTGGACGAATTAACGATAGTTTTAACCGGTCAAAAAAAAGACCAAACCGTTTTTCGCTTAACATCCAAACCTGATAATGGAAATTTGAGATCTATCTTAATTTGAAATGACAAAAAAGTAGCAAGATCATTTCAGTAGAGATTCATCATTTTAATGTCACGTAAAGAGGTTTTATTAGATTATGAAATACAAAAAATCAAACAAAAGAAACAAAACAAAAGACAAAATCAACGATGCTGCTCGTGTTGCTAATAAACGTACCATGAAATATAAACAAGTCGCCATCATTTAAACTAACCAAAAGGCAGAGTGCCGCGGGTGTGATAATGCTTTGTATCAAAAAGTTCTTTGGCAACCAGCAACTAGTGATGGAAGAACAAGTTATATAAATTTATAACAGCGCTGAATTTGTGTGTGCATGTAATTATGTATGTCTGTTTGTGTATGTGTGTGTGTGCGTGCGTGCAGTGAGTGCAATCTGTGCGAAGGTGTGTATGTATGAGTTGTATGTGTAGGTTTGTATATGTATATTGTATATACTCGCGTATGTATGTATGTAAGTGTGTGTGTGTGTGTGTGTGTATGAGTGTGGGTGTGTGTGTGTGTGTGTGTGTGTGTGTGCAATTGCAAGCAAACATAATTAAAATATGAAAAATATGAAATACTATTAAACCTATTGGAAGCACAAGATTCAACATTAGCAATAGGACAAGAAACAATCAGTCATATGAACATGCATGTGAACATACAATCATACGAACACACATATGAACATACAATCATATGAACATACATATAAACATACAATCATACGAACACACATATGAACATACAATCATATGAACATACATATGAACATACAATCATATGAACATACATATGAACATACAATCATATGAACATACATATGAACATACATATGAACATACATATGAACATATAATCATACGAACATACATATGAACATACAATCATACGAACATACATATGAACATACAATCATATGAACATACAATCATACAAACATACATATGAACAAACAATCATACAAACATACATATGAACAAACAATCATATGAACATGCAACGGTTGCTAACAAGTCATCATGGAAATAATAATCGGAATAAAATCCAACGGAGAATCCCACAATGATGAAGGGAATGGCTGTATTTTAAAAATTTAAAATTCAACATTGAAAAACACATTATAAAATTTTCACTAAAAAATGAATGTTACATTGCAAACTCTGGCGTCTGCTTTTATAAAATTGTTGTAGAGTTTTGCTTATTTATCTCCATTGTGAGTGATGTTGGATCATCAAAGGCTAGGCCCACCGCTTATAACTGTGGTTGCGTAAGGAAGGGCGTCCTGCGTAAAAACTAGCCAAAAAATAATACTTATGATGACGGAAATAACAATGGCCCTCAGTATCCGGCAGAATAGGGTGCGAAGAATCTCCGGAGACCCAGTCCATGGGGTTGTGGTGCAAGGCCCTGTGGATGGTCTGGCTACTGGCACCCCACTCTATAGTGTGGCGGTGCAAGGCACTATAGATGGAAGGACTACTTGTAGACCAAGGGATTGGAGGTTTGGTACCTGGAATGTAGGCACGTTGACAGGAAAAAGTTTGGAAGTGGTGGAGGAGCTGCAGAGGAGAATGGTTGACGTGGCTGCATTACAGGAGATCAGATGGAAGGGTGAGAGTACAAAGTTTGTGGGGGCTAAAGGTGGAAGATATAAGTTGTGGTGGAAGGGGGATGATAGTACGGGAGGAGTTGGTGTGATGGTAAGAGAAGAGTTGGTGGAGAAGGTGTTGGAAGTGAGGCGGAGAAGCAATGGTGTAATTGTGGTGGTGATGGTGTTTGGAAAAGTAATAGTGAGGGCGATATCAGGATATGCTCCGCAACAAAGTAGGAAGGAAGAGGAGAAGGATAGGTTTTATGATGATGTTTCTGACGAGATTGGGCAAGCGGGGTTGGATGAGTTTGTGGTGTTGTTGGGTGATTTGAATGGTCATGTGGGGGCGGATGCAGACGGATATGAAGGTGTACATGGGGAATGGGGATATGGTATACGGAATGAGGAAGGGCGTAGAGTGTTGGAGTTGGCGGATGCACATAGTATGGTGGTGGGAAATACCTGGTTTACAAGGGAACCAGCGCGATTGATTACATATAGGTCAGGGGAGCATAGGTCGATGATAGACTATATATTGGTAAGGGCCAAACATAGGAAGTATGTGAAGAATGTGAAGGCGATACCTGGTATGCTGCAGCATAGTATGGTTGTGATGGATGTGACATCAAAAGAAATGGGAAGGAGGAAAAAGGATAAGTTTGTGGCAAAGAGAAAGACATGGAAGTTGCAGGATGCAGAGGTGAGGAAGGCATTTGAAGTGAAGGTGTTGAAAATTGGGAGAGTGGTAAGGATGGAGATGTTTGGGAGAGATATAGGACTGTGTGTTGGCTACGGCAGATAAAGTATGTGGATGGACGAAAGGAAAGTGTAGGCATGGTGAGACGTGGTGGTGGGACGAAGATATAAGAAGGGTTTTGGAGGTCAAGAAGGAGAGGTTTAGGGTATGGAGAAGGGACATGACGGAGGAAGCGGAGTTTGAGTATAAGAAGGCTAAAAAGGTTGCAAAACAGGCAGTGGCAACTGCAATGACGAAAGCATCAGATAGGTTAATGAAGGAAATGGAATTTGATGTGAGTTCGAGGAAAATGTTCAAAGTAGCAAAGCAGTCAATGAGGGATAGGAAAGATGTTATAGGGAATGGATGTGTTTGGGATGGATCTGGCAAGTTGTGCATAGATGAGGAGGAAAAAGCTCAGGTGTGGAAAGCTCATATGGAAAGGTTGATGAATGAAGAGAATGAGTGGGATGGAGATGTGGAATCCGCGGTCACACACGGACCTATAGAGAAGGTGACGATGGAAGAAGTAGAGAAAGTAGTTAGAGAAATGAAACTAGGTAAGGCGACAGGGGTTTCGGAAGTGGCGGCAGAACATATAAAAGCGAGTGGGGTGATAGGAGTTGAAGTTATGATGAGAATTGCTAACAGTATGTTTGATGATGAAGGTATACCTGAGGATTGGCGACACAGTGTGTTGGTGCCGTTGTATAAGGGCAAAGGAGATGTGAGAGATTGTGGGTCATATAGGGGTGTGAAATTGCTAGAGCACGGAATGAAGGTAGTGGAGAGGGTGCTTGAGAGGAGGTTGAGAAATATGGTTACAGTTAATGAAATGCAGTGTGGGTTTATGCCTGGTAGGGGAACGGTGGATGCGTTGTTCATGGTGAGAATGTTGCAGGAGTATTATAGAAAGAAGAAACGAAGATTTTACATGTGCTTTGTGGATCTAGAAAAGGCTTTTGATCGAGTACCGAGGAAGGTCATTGAATGGGCGTTGAGGAAGAAAGGAGTGAATGAGAGACATGTTAAAGCTGTGATGCAGCTGTATGAAGGGGCAAAGACAAAGGTGAGGGTTGGAAGGGGGATGTCGGACGCTTTTAGTGTTAAGGTAGGAGTGCATCGAGGATCAGTGTTATAACCGTTTCTGTTTGCAATTGTGATGGATGTTGTGTGTGGAAACATAATGGAGGGGTTGTTATTTGAGATTTTGTATGCAGATGATTTAGTCTTGATGGCTGATAGCATGGAAGAATTGCAGTTAAAATTTGACAGATGGAAAAGTGTTATTGAAAAGAAAGGGTTAAAAGTTAATATTGGTAAGACGAAGGTAATGGTGAGTGGGGAAGGTGGGGAGCGAGTGATAAGTAAAATAGACCCCTCAATTTATTGAAATTTTATTTTTTTAATTTAACTAACCAACTGACCAACCAACCAACCATCCAACCAACCATCCAACCGACCAATCATTCATCAACCAATGAAGTGAGGGATCACCTCCTCAAACCACAAAACAAGCAACAAGTGGTGAGACTAACTGCATGCTAGTATGCAATAGAACTGCATGGATCCGTGGTTGACATCCCTCACATCCGTCATACGCCTGTACAAGTGGTACACCTTTTGGTATGGAGTTATCATCATCAGCATCATCTTCATCATCATCATCAATCATCATCATCATCATCATCATCAGCATCGTCATCATCATATCATCATCATCGTCATCAGTGTTATATCACCATTATCATCATCATTATTATCATCGTTAATACGGTACTATCAATATTCTTAACATTATAATAGTACAACAATTGAAAATTTCTACCAGTATAACATATTTACCAGCTGAAATAAACTTAAAATTCAAAATTTTCTAATGAGAATGTCATCAGTTGTTATAAGTAATATTGATGCAATGTATAGAAGCAATGTGGCAGAAGGAAAGGCTGATGATTCGTTGATACGACAAGAAGATGTGGAAGACGAGATGAACGAGACGAACCTTGAAGAACATCCAGATGTGATGGAGCAGCATGAAGAGATGCAGAAACACGGAGGACAACCTGCATAGTGCCTGTTAAGTTGTTGTTGTTGCTGGTGTTGTTGTTAATGTTCTGTCTAATTGTTTTTATTGTTGTTGTTAATGTTTTGTTAAGATGTTGTTGGTGGTGTTGTTGTTAATGTTCTGTAAAGTTGCAGTTGCTGATGTTAAGTTGTTGTTATTGCTGGTATTGTTGTTGTTATTACTGGTATTATTGTTAATGTTCTGTTATGTTGTTGTTGGTGTTGTTGTTATTGCTGCTACTGTTAATGCTGGCGTGAATGAAATATTGCTTTGATTGCTGTTATTGTTTTTGTCATTACTAACTGTAATTGTTACAATATTGCGACAATTTATTATTATTATTATGCACTATTTTGAATTGATTCTCTTCTTTCCTTCTCGATTTAAAATCACCATGGTCAGTCAGTCAGTCAGTGCAAGAAAAGAAGTAGCAGATTGTGTAGTAGCATTATAGTATCATTTACCAGTTAGTCAAAATGGTTAGTAATGTGAGTAACTATTATTTTATCAAACAGTTTAACATTCTAAAAGTTATAACAGTTGCGAAAAATTGCATCGAAGTTATTTCCATTTTAATAAGAGTTGGCACAAAAACTTAAATCACCCTGTGTTCAACTTTATCAATTCCTATCAGAAATATTAAGTAAGTGATGAACAAGGTGCCTGTCAGGTGCATGTTGATGGCATTGCTGATGTTCCGCGTGGAAACGAAGTTGATGAAACTGAAGGTGACAAACGCGACGAGGAAGAAGAGGAGAGAGAGTGGAATGCCGACGTACAAGGAGACATCCATTATGAATGGACCTGCTGTTTTGGTCTGCGGTGGGTGAGAGAAGAATCGAGGTATAGGAAAGTGTGGTTCATAAAATATTTCATTCTACAATAACGACGTCTATCGTTAAAATGTCAGCAAGTAACAAAACTGCAACCAAAACAGCTCTCACATCTGTTAAACGAACACAACAACAACAACAAACACAACGCCACGTCAATCGACTGGCAATGAGAACAACACTAACGACATCCATTGAACAATAACTACAACAATTACAACCACAACCACAACAACAACAAAAGCAACATACTAACAACACAACAACAAACAACAACAACATACTAACAATAACAACCACAACAACAAACAACAACAACATACTAACAGCAACAACAACAACATACTAACAACAGCAACAACAACAACAGTAACAACACAACAACAACAACATACTAACAACATCGAAAGTTGGTTCCGTCATGACAGCAAATGCAGATGAATGTTTGCACGAGCAAGTGCTGTAACTCACGTCATCATCATTCAACAGCTTGCAAAACTTGTTCGTCCACACGCTGAAAAATTAATCACAAGTCCAAACAGCTGAATATTTGAAGAAACATCGAATGAAAAAAATACGTAAGAAAAAAAAAAGTCCAGTTACCCGTTCCATAAGCTGATGCACCTCGGTTTTGTGTATTTATTCTTTGGTACCGATTTAAATTCTATGGTCAGTGACCCTGATAACGATGATGACGACGACGATGATGACGCATTATAAACGGACAGGTAGATGACGGGTGAGTTGATGACCGATGATGACGTCACGTGCGACCGTCTGATGGTAGTAAAAACGTTAATGATAATAATATTATTATTTTGATTATTGTTATTTTTATCATTATTATTATTATTATTATCTCCGTTGTTAGTATTGCAATGCAATCATTAGTTATGGTACTAAGGCAGCTAACAGCGGCAACAACCGTTGCAACACAGCAGGCAGGTAAGTGATAAACATGGTCAGGACCGAAATTCAATGTGCCCTATAGCCCACATGCACCATGCACCCGCAACAGACTTAAAATATGATCAAACGATGAAAATATTAAGTTTGAAATTATGAAGATAGCAAAAAAACAAAATGACTGACGCCGTTCAAATAAATAAAAAAAAGTTTTGTGAAAAAAAACAGATGAAAAAAACTAAAAGAACAAATTTAAAAAATTTTTTTGGAAGAATAAATTTGAGAGAATGACCTGAACTTATCATCGTATTTCTTAGGCAAGATGTGAGCCAGAGATTTGAAGATGATGTAACCAATGTACAGTGAAGGGCCATGTTGAGACTTCAACATTTGGTGGTCTGCAGGGCGTTCAATTGTCTCGGTTAGAAGTGTTTCTTGAAGTGAATGTTACAATTAAAAAATAATAAAAGCAACATTTTCTTAACAACTGATAATTCTGGCAAATATTGTATAGAAACGTATCATTTGTGAGGAGCATCTCTGTCGTCACCATACCATCACCACCATCGTCATTATCATCAACAACAACAGATGACCACTTACGTTGACCACCATGCGAATCAGGGGAGTTGAAGTTCAACTGGACGAACGTATCCATGGCGACAACCTCTTTTTGTTTGACCTTGTTGTTGAACTTCGGTAGGATGGTGATGACGTCAGATGATGATGATGATGACGACGACGACGATGATGATGGGAGACGTGAACCATCCACCCAATCCAATCCAAGCACTTTGACGTAAAATGTAGAAACATTATTGCGGATAATTAAATAAATGCAAATTTTATAAACTTAAATGCATTCAACACGTTATCAATTCCCTAATTCAATTCAAACATTCTCTTTTCATCATTCATTTCCCTTCAGTTCAATGCACAATTATTTTACTCTTTAAAAAAATCAGACTCTGATAGACAGAATCTGTTTGAATAATTCATTCATTCATTCATTCATTCATTCATTCATTCATTCATTCATTCATTCATTCATTCATTCATTCATTCATTCATTCGTTCGTTCGTTCCTTCCTTCCTTTACCAACTTATCAACTTATCAGTACCACCTATATCCTTGTGAACAGTATCAAAGGGTTGCGTGAAGATGATGGGCATGTTGAGGACCATGTTGTCAACGTATCTGAAGACATTCATCAACAACGTAATCGTCGAGTTTTGCTCCTTCTCGTTGATTGACGTCCAAAGTTTGAAATAATCAGCATGCAATGTTCTTCCTAACGTGTTCACCAGGTTCTGCAAATGTTTCAACTGCCACTTTAACAGTATGAAGTAATTCGTTCTTTTAAGTCAAATAAAGAAATGAGTTTCTTACAAAACTTTCATAAGATGTTAAAAGTAAAGAAGAGTATTTGTTTTACAGATTAGTGAATGCTGATGAGTAAGACGTTTTAGAAAATTATAATCAGAACATGTTCACTGGAAATCCATGCAGCCTATCATCAGATTGTCTTCAGTTAAACAGCTATTATAATTTTGCCAGGAAATTATTTCATGCACATCATTCCAGCCAGCCAGCCAACCAACCAGCCAGCCAACCAGCCAGCCATCCAGCCAACCAACCAGCCAACCAGCCAGCCAACCAACCAGCAGGTAGTTTCTATCCTGTGTGTGAGTCATCTCCAGTCCGGATAGCCTGCTCTCATACTCAGTAACACTGCTCAACAGTTTGAAGGTCACGTTCAAGTCGTTCAATGTCAAGGACGTTCTCTTCAGTGGCCAATCGTGGACGAGACATGTGGAGTGATTCAAGCGCTGGATGATGTCTTTAGATACGTAGGTGTTTAATATCAGATGACCGCTTTCTATTGAGTGCATCTGTAATGATGGGTCAGATTGTTGGTAGATTGGTTTGTTAGTTACTTGGTTGATTGATTGGTTGATTGATTGATTAATTGCTTGATTGATTGATTGATTGATTAGTTGGTTGATGGGTTGATTGATTGATTGATTGATTGATTGATTGATTGATTGATTGATTGATTGATTGATTGATCGATCGATCGATCGATCGATCGATCGATCGATTGATTGATTGATTGATTGATTGATTGATTGATTGATTGATTGATTGATTGATTGGTTGGTTGGTTGATTTATTGATTGGTTGATTGATTAGTTTGTTAATTAGCTAGCTGGCTGATTAGTTCGTTAATAGTCCACTGGACGTTAAGTAAAATATTTTTTGTTACTTCATAACATCAACAGCCTACATTTTGGTGTTGATCAAGACGGTTTCAAAAGCATGCAACAACAGACCAATCACAAAATTACGCTAAACGAAGATAACAAGCCAGTTATAAAAAAAAATATTCAAATCGAAAAAACTGCACTGACCACTTTTTCAAGGTCAACAAAAAGTTCCGAAGTGCAATTAGTGACATCACTGTCGTGCCATCCCTGATTGTGACTGCAGTGCCTCGTTGCCATGCCAACCATCCTTGGAGGGCATGGACCAACGATGGTGGCGTTGAAGGGACTCCTCTGCCACCAGACGGATGAGTGGAACGATCGAGGACACGCACCAACAACTGCTTGGCAACCTGTTTATCATCATCACTACCATCATCATCATCCCCATCATCATCATGGTATTTCATGTCTTATTTGATCATCTCTCGTTGAATAATGCGTGCAAATCAAAAAATGCAAGCAGGTAGCAGGAACTGGAGAACTTAAGATAATGCATCTAATAAGAGCACGTGATATTGACAAGGGCAAAAACATCAGAGCCAGCTACTTACCATCGCCAGTAACTTCCGCCGTCAGATCACTACACCTGTCACACTGCCTTCCGATGATGTCAGCTCGACAAGGACACTGACCCGACAGGATATCGCACTGGAAGGACATAGAACCTTCTCTGTAGCAGTCACACGGCAAGCATGAAGATCCACGCAAATAATGGTTTGCCTGATTACAAGTGATACAAATTGTTTCAATATCTACAACTATGTTACGAAAATTGCACCTAGTTTAATCTTACAAAATTGTAAAATTGAACCATGAATAAGTCGATCATCAATCTAAATATTAAAAAAAATTCTTTCAACCAACCTTACAAAAACAAGTGCCAGTTTTCTGATCGCAGTTGGAACTGAACCCCTTGTTTGATTGGCAGTTGCATGGGCCACACGTGGGCCACCCCCACCAAGATGGCGGACATTTTTGTTGCTGTTGTTCATGCTGTCGATGTTGATAAGTTTGTTGAAGTTCTTGTGCTCGTTGCAACAAACGTTGATAGAATAACAACTGATGCAAGTTGAACCGATGTTGCACATCGAAAGTGACGTGGGACTTGTGTTGTTTCAAAGAGTGCAGCTGTTGCAGCTTCAACAACAGCTGCTGCATCTGTTGCTGCTGTTGTTGCTGTTGCATGGTGAGTTGATGTTGTAGCAGCAAGATATTTTCTGTCACACATTCGTATCCATAAAATGTTGTACTGTTCTGAACACATTTCGTAACTCCTTCTTGACAAGCATGCCTGCCGAGGTCACACACACTTTTGCAATTCTCACCTTGGAAACCTGGAATAAGTTTGTTTAAATTTAATTTTTACTTTTATATTTTATACGGCGAAATCAAATCATTTAAATGTTAAAAAATATCTCAAACAAAAAAGCGATAATACAAAATTAACAAATACCTCTATCACAAACGCATTCCAGCGTGTCAAACACGTCAACACAAACTGAAGTTGCGTTGTTGCATTTCTTCACACTGCCTTCCACCTCAACATTGCCTGATTCTTCCATGCACCTGTTGCTGGCATGGCACCCTTCAGTAACGTCATGTAGCATCCTCTCCACAAACGGCATGTTCATGTTGCCACCTACCCTCAATAGCTACGCAATGACAAGAAGGTTTGTTGCAAATTATTCATACAGGTTGATTTCGTTGGTTAGATTGGGCATGAAATCGAGATCATATGATATCTATGACATCATAACAGAGTCATGATGGTATCAAGATGGTATCGTGATAGTATCGTGATGATGTCATGATGTCATGATATGAATATTATGACTCCTGTTTTAAATGAAATATTCAGAACGATGAAGACGACGATTAGGCTGTGTTTCTGATGATATAACATTCATTGATCTTTAGGGCATTAAAAAAACTGAAAACAAATTGAAACAATAAAAATGTAGAATAAAAAATTTGGTAAAAGAGAAATTTTTTGAATAATAAAATACAGAAACGATGGACAAAGCATCAATCGAAGTAAACCTTGAAACATCCAATGAAACCTTCAGTAGCTACCACCTGTTCACCTTCACCTTTAAGTAACGCACCAACTGAGATGTCCTTGACCCGATAACCAGTCAGCTGATCGGTCAGGGAATAGCTGACCTAGTTGATAACAATTTATGTTATGACTCTTGGTAATTTGATTTTTATTTAGCGTCGTTCAAGATTTATCGGAATACATACACTACACATACATACATCTGTTTTATACATTTTTATTGTAAATTGTAAATACATTTTTTGTGTAATGTTTTAGCACAAAATATTTTCTTTTTTGAAGCAGAAATTTGATTTTAACCTGCTTTAAAAACAGTTTAAATTCTATAAAAGTGTTTCAAGATCAAAGAAAAAAACTTTGCAAACGAAAATTATTCATGGGTTCAAGCTGGCAACAACATCTTCGAAACTTTAAGAGCTTGTTTTTTTAATATGTTTGGAATTTGCTTTCAATACTGTGTGAATGGAAGAGATAATAAAAACAAATATATGAAAACAGAGAATACTTTGGCAGATGAGTAATCGAGTTGAAAGGTGACGCAAGAAGCATTCCAAGTTACTAGCACGTGATGCCACTGACCATCATTTATGCCGCTGCTGACCACGTCCATGGATAACAACGGTGACGAAGACGACGAAGACGAAAATGGCATCCTACATTGTAAAAACCCATTTTTTACCTGCATTTTAATTTGGAAATCAAAGAACGTAAACATTTGAAAGTTTATAAGAAAAAATCATTTAAGAAAAATGAACGTTATTTTAATTTCGTCTCTAATGTAAAATGAAAAAACGGGGAAATAAAAAAATATTAAAATGACAAACCTGCAGGATCAAATGATCATAATGATGGTCAGCATTCTGTTCGTCATCATTTCCATGAAGTTTGTTTAACTGGACAGCAAGCAGCACACCATTTCGATGGGTCGTCCTGAAATGAAGAGCCACCATCCAGGGGTAGACGATAAGGGGCAGTCCATGCTGGCCTGATTTGTAGAAGATGTAACTCTTCCCTGATTGGTCCGAAAGTTTATTAATTAATTGACTGATAGGCTAGATAGTCAGTTGATTGGTCAGAAGTTTGAATGATCGATTGCTGATTGTTTGGTTAGTTGATTGATTCCTTAACTGATTGATTGGTTGGTTGATTAAATTATTGATGGAATAGTCAGTTAGTGTTAGCTATGTCGTGAATTAATTAATTAATTAATTAATTAATTAATTAATTAATTAATTAATTAATTAATTAATTGAACGACTAATGATTAACAAATGATCGTTTTGTAAAAAAAAATGAATTATCAAACAGTGATCCGAAAATTTAACCTTTAAATTGTAATGCACCATCAATCAGAGGAACTGTAATTAAACAAATAAATGATTAACTGAATAAATAAAAGGATGAATATAAAATAATTATTTGGATAACTAAATGAGCAAATTAAAAACTGTTTTATAGTTTATGCAAATTTTCAAAATTCCAACAAATACAGATGTAGTTGAAAGAGATAGGTGCAGACAACCTGAGTTGTTACATGTCTTTCCAGAAAATCCATCCTCACAATCGCAAATGAAGTCGCTCCACAGTGATCTACAAACTCCTTCAAATTATTTCAATTCAAAATATTTCACGATAAATTATTGTTCAATTTTTACTGGTCAGGCGATTACAAGTTGGTCATATTTTAAGACGTGTATGACAGTATTAATAAGCCAGCGAAGTAGTTTAATGGTTAAGACGCCTGTCTGAACGTGATGTTGCAGTCACTGGGTTTGAATGCAGAGAGATATTCGTGTATCATATGCAACGTGTGAGATGCGCTAATTCACGTCTATTGAAATGCGTTCACGTTCAGTGCCTCGTTGTTGGTGCCTCTGAGGAATAATAAAAAAAAGATTGTATGGAAAAAATCGCCTAGGTTTGGCCGTGTTCTGTGAGATGATTTTGTGAGGATTAACTATTATTAACATTCAGGAACATTGAGTTCGTTTCATTCCTAAAGAAGAACGAGGCGGTTCCAATTTCAGATTTGGATTTACCTAATCCAACGCAGGAGACTCGCTGCAGATGGATCCGTGAATAAATTTGAACTACAAATATCATAATATATAAATATTGAGTTAAATACATCTTAATGACCGATACTGTTAAAACTTTGTTCGATGTTGCTAATGGGAATACCACTTTTGAATAGTAACTATGCTACTAGCTTGGCATTGTATAATAGTTAATACCGATTGCGTTTGTCGGCAGTTAGAGTTTAATAAGTTTCTAGCAGTATATTTCAAATTTTGAAACCCCTCAAATGTCTAGATCCGCGTCAGTCCCATCTCAAAAATACGTCCACCGTTGTTGGTTGCAACAATTAAAAATTTGATGTAAACAAATAAATTGAAGTGACCATAAATACAATGAAAATAATCAAACAAAAATAAAAGCGAGAAAAAATACCTCGATTGTGACATGGACTTCTGTGGCAATAGTCATCAAGCTGAGGGCAGAACATTTGCGTCCCAGCTTCACTCACGTACTCATTCATGTCCACCAATTCACTATCTATATAAAGATCACTGATGCAACCATCAAACCGAAGAAGATTATGGTGATGATGAGCATGATGGTGATGATGAGTATGATAATGATGATGATGGAGATGGTTTTGTTGTCTTTGGTGACGGTGATGTTTGTGCAGTTTCTGACGTTTTGCACGTTTAAAATTTTGTGCTTCAGATGATCCAACTTCAGCAGTCTCTTCAACATCATCGTCTGAAACATCCACAGGGTGGCCCTCATGTTGATTGTTTTCACTTCCATCGACTGCGAGCATCTGGAGCAGGTGGCTGCGGAGGTTGTCGTCGTCAGGCAAGCCTCCAACGTAGAATGGACCAGTGAGATCAAGATGGCGATGGCAGAGTTCTGTTACGTCACTGCATCTGTGTGCAATCAACCGTTCATTTATAGTCTAAAAAATATTTATAAATTTAAAACAGACCTCAACTATATAAATATATTTAAAATTAAATTAACTCAAAAACACTGATTAGCTATCCTAGGCCAATTGTGAAAATAATAAACAAAAAGTAGCAATAGAAAAAGAAAATTTTGCAAATTATTCTTTTTGTCATATCATTTATAACAAACAATTAAATTTAGATTTTTGTACTTTTCATGTCAAATTTTTATGCAAAGTTGCAACAAAACGCTAAAATAATTGTAAAACAAGTCCGTCAAAAACCAAAGAACACTGCATGTCGCCAGACAGACCTGCCATCTAAATGTTGTGTTGCTTGCTGAGCGCATGAATGCTCATCAAGGTGGGCTTCCTTCTTCAGTAACAGTTGAGCATCACAATCCTCTCCAACTATAAGAGTGGCAGTCTGCAATGTGATGTGTTTGTTCGTAGTGTGGTGTCTGTTTTTGCAGTGGTGTGCTCGTTACTAGGCTCATTAGTTCAGTTCAGGTCGATGGTTGGCAAGATTGCTTCAATTTTTTGTATTGTTTAACCGACATCATCGTTTTAATAGGTACACAAAAGTGTTATCGAGGGTGAAGTTACTGAACGTTATGTAAATAAAAATTGCACGATGGATTGCAATTTTACAGCGGTGAAATAACAATTTATAAAATTATAAAACTGCAATGAAAAAGAAAGAGTTATTGTATTTGAAGCAAACAAACAAAAATAAGACCTACCCCATTATAATAGATGATGTTCAACTGAATCCACCTGCCCGTGTTCACCCTGTTCTCAACATGAGAGTGAACAGTCGTTACTTGGTGTGAACCGAGGGAGAACGAAAACTTCAATTGTCCACCGACCATCCTCAACATGATGAAGTCCAAGTGATGTTTGTTGTATCTTCCATTGTAGAACAACAGCCCATCTGCTGAGGTAGTGGCGAATCTGCTCAATTTCAAATTACGAAATCTATTAAAACATGTTCTTCTGTAAAGACGACTTAATAAAAACAATACTATCGACAATCAAATAAAACACACAACAACCTCATTCTAATGCTGAACCTGAACTTGTTACGCAGACCTGGAAAAGCAATATAGGATGCACCAACATGATGACGACCGCTTCTTATTTCATCAACATCATCATCGACATCTTCGTCTTTACCATGGGTTTTGCCTCCAAAACTTCTCACTCGAAGTTCACAGAACTTCGTGTAACCTGGCTTATTAGCACAATCGTGGCAGCTGGTTTGGTCGCATATCAAACAACAAGCAACATATGAACACTGTGGAAGCGTTTGTTCTTGGTGATCTTGTTGACGATGCGTCTGGAGTGGGCATGTTTTAACGAGGAAACAGCTGGACGGATGTTTGCAAAAATTCTTCTGCTCAGCTGGACATGGAATGTTTGCAAGGTCGGTTACAGAGTTGGAAGTTCCAGTGAGAAGCATTTTGTTACTTGACGTGACGGTCAGATCAATTTCGCAGTGGACACCTGTTGGGATGTTTCAACACTGACGTCAACAGGCAACTCCAAAAATAAGATTATATTAAAACGACAGAGAAATAGAGCCTGATGTAAATGATAACAGATAATAAGATTGACATTGAACATTGTGATTAATGTGATTATTGAAAATAAAATGAAGTTTTAAATTCTTACAAATGCAAATGTTAAAACATACACATGTATACATAAGTTAAGACTACACAATACCAAACTGAAATGTTTGTATCGGTAGCAGAACACAAAAATGAAAAAAGTTACACAGAAATCAGATGATAACAAAACTCATTCAATGATTCAATGCACGAAGGTATGTATGTATATTTGTGACTATAAATATTTATCAAGATCTTAGCAGGCATTCAAGATGTTGACAGTGCAATAAAACTGTCAACAAATTGTAAATTAAAATTATTAAAATTATTGTGGGAATGAGCCAAATCAGAAAGAATTGAAACACATTTCAATATTAACATATTAAATACATTCTAGACTGAAATTTCATTTACCTACATTTTACAAAATTATTGCAAGATGAACAGATAGGTAAATAAAAATTTTATTCATAATACCTTATAAAACATTATTGCAATGGCGTAATATTGAAAAAAACACCACAAAGCTATCATCTTCGTCATAATCTTTGTAATCATCATGATATAATAATAATAATAATAACAACAACAATCATCATCACCATCATCATCATCACAATTTCCAACTGACCAGCATACTGAAAAGGACAGAGACACTTGTGGCCAGCCTCAACTGTCAGACAGGTGGCGTTGTTGAGGCAGGGGGAGGAGTAACAGAGATCTACCTCCATGTCGCACATGTTGTCGTACTCCTTACCTGCCATGCCGTGTCGTGTCCAGAGAAATGAAAGCATAAAATGAATAACAAATAAATAAATAAAAATGTGATAATAATAATAAATAATAGATATATAATAAATGTACTTGTTGTTAACAATATTTTGAAATGTTTCTTTAAAAATAAAATCATCATCCAGCCACTCATCATCATCCTCATCATCCAGCCACTCATCATTATCATCATCATCATCCCAGTCGACGTCTATCGCCATGATTTTTCGGAAAAGTAGGTGAACATATTGTCAGTCTCCTCCTCGTCATCATCCTTTTTTAAAATCAATCACTCAAAAACTTGTATTACTAATTTCCACCATCGCAGCAAATTCGTAAAACATGTCGTGAGCTTGGAGCTTTTGTCATAAAGTCAGTCTCTGAAACTTATTAACTTTTGTGCAATAATATCCTAACAATTAGCATATAAGTTTAGTTAGATGTGTTCCATCGTTGGAATAATTTGAGCTGTAGATTATTTTAAACTAGGCAAATGTAGATGAGACTTCGGTGAGCTTCGAGCTTCAAACTAATCATTAACATTGCATTACTGGCGCCATTCAAATACATGCAGCAAAATCACACCGATGATCGCACCTGTAAACCCTCGTCGGCAAGAGCACGAGAAATGAGAACGAGTGTGAACACTTCTGTAGAACATGAATTCATTGTTCGCCATGTTCGTAGCGCCGGAAAATTCAAATGTCACGTGACAATCTTCAAAGTTGAGGCAGGGTTCCCTGTGGCAGATGTCGTCGTCGTCAAAAGGAAGGACCTGTTTGTTGCGAAATGACAAAGTTTCATTTTTTTCAGAAAGATTTCATTTAGGGGTGTTCACGAAAAACATTTGAGAATTTTTAAAAAATTCGTAATATCGTTAAGTTGATTATTTTTAATTTGAAATTTAATGAACCAGAGTACAGATGAAAAGAATTATAGTAGTACAAAGACGTTGTTGTTATTATCATTATTATTACAAATTTTATCACCTCATCGTCAAGAATAAAACTATAGAGGGACGAATTTAATGACATCGGAAAATAATTTTTAATGATATCTACCCATTTGTATACTTTTTTAATTAACTGACTCATGACTCCTCCACAAACTTAGTTATTTTCATTTTATTGAATTCATCTTTCTATTTTTGTATTATTTATCTGTTTATACTTTTATTCATTCATTCAATCATTCGTTCGTTCTTTCGTTCGTTCATTCATACATTCATTCATTCATTCATTTAAAAATTTGAATACCTAGCTTTCTATTTTTTATTTATCAAATTGTTTACATTTTTATTAACTCAGCCATTAAATAATTCATTTATTCAGCATTCAGCAGACATTCAGTTATTTTCCCTGCCACTACACATACACACACACACACACACACACACACACACACACACACATCAACAACACGCACATACACAAACACACGCACACCAAACACATGCACAGGCACAAAAACACAAATAAATCAATTTTACTATTGCAATGCATGCATGCATACACAAACACACAGATATACATGCACACACATGCACACATCCCAGCAACAAAGCCACAACATTCCACATGATGAATGAGAAATAAAGCTTTGATAGCCAGCCAGCCTGTAGGCACACAACATTGAATAAATTTATGTGAAGGAACATTACATGGCAATAAATTCATTAATTATTTATTAAATAAACCTCCAACAAATAAGGAACAGCTATAAATAATATGAAGCAGCAGTAATCTATTGAGATCCATCTAAATATAATTTTTATATTAATATTCATCCATACAAGCATACACACACACACATACACAAACACACATGCATACAAACATGCATACAAACATACACACATACATGAACAAACATAAACACAAATCTACGTTCTCCTAACTCGCTCATCTGTTAAAACATCAACAACATCAGCGGAATAGTTAGTTCACTCACAAAAAATTAATCAAATGCAACGGAATTAACCTACTGAAGAGAATGGCTGCCATGGAGAATTGAAAAAGTAAAGCAATCAATTCACTATGCATGTTAAACCTAAACTAACATACATTTTGAAGCACAAAACGCATGACGAGACCGATCATGACATGATGATGACGACGACGATGACGAAAATATTAAACGTTATTATCAACGTCATTATTAAAATACAATTTCTTAAATCCACCCACATAACTCTACTCAATAAATCAGATTTACAAGGTGACACGATGGTATTGATTTGAGTGTCCTGTGAAACATTATATTCCCCAGGTTAACACAACCAACAAGTTAACAACGTCACAAGTGTTACGAAGTAAGCATATAAGGAACAGCACTTTATACTTGAATCCTACAGATAATAAACATGTTATACGTTTATATTAATTTAAGTTGCTATAAAATGGATGCAGTCGACACGAACATGTATTGAAAATAATTGTAGTAAAAAACATATATACACATTGCATTATACAAATACACAAATGTGAAATATATATTTTCTTTATTTATTCCATTCATTCTTTACTTAAAGTCTATAGGGTTTTTCATGGAACAATTGGTGAATCAGTGCAACTCATAAAGACAGTTTAAAGATCATGAATACCAAACTAGCTGACAAATAAGAAAATTTGATGTTGAACCTCATACAACTAAAGCAAATACATTCTATACAAATGTGTGCTCACAGATTTGCTAAGCTTGAGTTTGATGAACACCAGTACATAATAATGTGTGTGAGTGTGTGTGTTGATATAAAATACATAAATTCACGTTACATGTGACCTAAAACAAACATCGAGCATGGAAATGTAGAAAGACAAACATCCATTCACTCTTACCATACAACGACAGCTTGCATACACAAAAGTATCAATACGTATACACTGTGTGCAGTGCATGCAGATGAGCATAATGAAACGGCAATGAGATGGCTATGTGTCGTCATTAGACTACTACTTCTGCTGCTGCTACTACTACTTCTACTATTACTACTACTATTACTACTACTACTACTACTACTACTACTACTACAACTACTACTTCTTCTTCTTCTAATACTACTGCCGTTACTGTTGCTACTACAATTGCTATACAACTACTAACTATGTATACTTCAAATAGTTGCAAATTCTTACCTATGACCTCTTGGCACATTACATTTAATATGCAGATGTGATGTGCCCAATAGATGTTGTGACTGAGACAGATATATGCATGCAATAATCTTCCAAATTTGAATTAAACATATTGCAAACACACCATAAAAATGTTAATTTGAAAGTCATTCAAAATACCAACCTGTATGAGAGACAACTTCTGAAGAAGTGACATGTGGGTGTATATTCTCTCCCTGAGTACCTTACCACTGTAGAAGATGTCCCTACCATACTCAACCCTCTCCTTCACAGCCAATGTCACGTTCATTACTAAATTATCCTTCTCTGTTGAAACAAGTTGAAAGTAATAATGACTCTTGTGACATTGTTTACAATTTTTTAAAAATTGCACTATTTACCGAAAAATATAAATAATCCTTTACAAAAATTATTAAAAAATTAAATGAATATAATTGAAATAGAAATGAACACTAACTTGAATTAAGAGAATCATTAGCAACATCGATAACGTAGATATTATCGGCTGTGGTTGAGACAATGGCAGCCAGTGCAGACACAAATGCATGATAGGGAGGTCCAAGGAAGAGGCGCTGGTTGATCTGGAGCAAGTGGAGTACGACGCTGTTTTGGAGCATTTCGTCAGTGACTAGCCGAACCTCAATGTGACAGAGCACTCGAACTTCATTCAATCCGTCTGGATGTTCCAGGATAATGTTTTTTTATGTTTTGTTTTGAATGGAGAAAACGCTTCAAATATTTTTTTTAATAAGCCAAAAAATGTAGGTAAATATGAATGGCGTGTATTAACTAAAACAAGATAAAAATATATATATATCTTCTGATGTATAACTAAACTAATTGTTTAATAACTCAATTAAAAATTTTAAAAAATCAATTATCAATTATTACTGTGAAGAAAAAAATTAACAGAGCAACGTAACTTTGATTGCAAACACATGCCAACTCGTTAAGTTTTTTAATGAATTTCTCATTTATGGTTACGATATACAAACAGATGAACGAACGAACGAAAAAACAAACAAACAAATAATCAAACTAACAATCAAACTAACAAACAAACTAACGAACAAACGAACAAACAAACAATTTATCTACACGTGTACGTACATTCATTAAAAAATTGAAAATTACCCAGAAGTAATATTAAAAAATATACATGCACATTAATTATTTGTATCTTAACAAATTCACTCTTAAAGAGAAAATACTGAAATAAATAACATCATACGAAAGCACAAAATACGTAGGAAACATTCCATTTCACAAAATAGACCAACACTAACAAATACTTACTAAATGAAAATAAAATTAAATAATCTAATTATTTAATAAATGATAAGTTTTGAAACAAGTTATTAACTGACCAGTTACACTGAGAAGTAGAGTAGCATTGGTAGGCATGTCGGAGTTCAATCTTGGATTCAACCTCATCATTCCTGAAGTTTCATTCAAATGAATCAACCTCCCTTCATTTCCCTGCACAAACTTGAACTTCAGTCTATCAGTGACATCCGGATCGCGAGCCGGGACAACACCGATCATACCAGAATTGAAATTATCTTTGTAGTTATTGTACAGCACCGTGAAATCATTTACGATGGGGATGTTGTCATTAACATCTGTGACAATGATTTTGACCAGGGCATCTGTGAAGAGATGATTCGATCGAGCTCGTACGTTCAACAAAAATTCATTTCTGTCACTCTCAAAATCTAATTCAGTATCTGTCTCCAACGTTGCAATGTTTGCTGAAGGTGATGGGATCAGTTTGAAATGTTCATAATCCATCTCGGGCAGGAGGAAATATTCGACAACTGCATTTGCGCCCTCATCAGAATCGTGTGCATTAATTTCTCCAACCAACGTTGATAGAGGAACATTTTCTTTCACATGAAACACTAAATTTGCTCTTTCAAAAACAGGAGCATTGTCGTTGACGTCCAATACATCAATGGTGACTGTAGTTGATGATGTTAACGATACCTTACCTCCATCACTAGCTAGCACCACAAGTTTGTACTCATGTGTTTTTTCCCTATCCAGGTCTTTAATCGTTCTTATTATCCCAAGTGATGAATCAATTTTAAACTCTTCCAAATGATTAATCAAACTATATTTTATTCTTTTATTGACTCCTTCATCAGCATCTCTAGCCTGCACTGTAACAACGCTGCTACCAACGTTGGCATCCTCAAGGATCGATCCCTTGTAAAACTGTTTTAGGAATGTAGGCGGGTTGTCATTTGCATCCAAGACAACGACCTCAACATCTGCATACTCCGTTTTAGGAGGTCTACCGTGATCTGTGGCCGTCACTGTGAGAGTATGAGAAGATGACGTTTCTCTATCCAATGAGTGCTTCAGTTTTATTTCGCCAGTGTTTTCACTAATTGAAAAATAATCGTTGACGTTTAAAAAATACGATATCCTGGCATTTTCACCGGAGTCTAAATCACTGGCAGTTACATTAAAAACTACCTGGCCAGTTGCAGTATCTTCTGAAATTTTAAAATGATACGGAGTTCCTATGAAATATGGCCTATTTAAGTTGGCATCAGTAATTGAGATATAAACAGTTGTTGTGTCGTTGAAAAGAGAATCTGTGGCACAAATAACTAAAATGTATTGATTTTGTTGTTTGTAATTTAATGACTTTGCAATGCTCAGTGTGCCGTAACCCATTTGTGTGATGAGACTGAACGATCCCCTATCATTCCCTGATAATATTTTGTATGTCACTCTTCCATTTGCTTCCTCATCTACGTCAATGGCTCTCACTGTTTCAACGAGAGAACCCAGTGGAGATTCCTCAGAAATAGAGGAATTGTATACTTTCTGCTCAAATTTTGGAGCATTGTCATTCAAATCTCTTATTGTCAATCTAACTGACGCTTGAGAACATTTCTGTGTTTCGCCATTGTCACAAGCCACCACATCAAAAGAGTATTCAGCCTGCTGTTCTCGATCTATTTCATCCATAGTAACAATGACTCCTAAATCATTAATTTCAAGTGGCAGAAAATCATCGCTAAGTAATGTGTAATTGATTTTTCCAAAAAGATTAGAATCAGCATCATAAGCATTAACTTTTAAGACGGTTGTTCCAATGGGAATGTTCTCTATGATAGTTTCTTGGTAAGCTAGCATGTCAAATTTTGGTTCATTATCATTGACATCAAGAACGTCAATGTGCACGACAGTGTTGTTACTCATTGCTGGTTGTCCACTGTCTTGAGCCTTCACTGAAAGTCTGTAGGAAGGAACTTTCTCATGGTCTAGTGGGTGCACTAATGACAATGTACCATCGTTTGGATCTATGACGAAATGATTCAATGAATTACCACTTGTGATTGAATATCTCACCAAGCCATTGTTTCCAGCATCAACATCAGTTGCATCAACAATGCCAATCACAGGATTCGCTATGTAGTCATAATCTTCTTTAATCTTGTATTGATATGATCCATTCTTGAACTGAGGTCTGTTGTCATTTTCATCTTGAATTGTTATTTCAACATTAACTGTGGAACTCAATCTGATATCTTGAACTGAACTGTCCATAGCCAGCACTTTCAACTCATAGAAGTCTTTTTTTTCTCTGTCCAACTGAGCACTGGTTGTTAAGATGCCCAGCTGGGGATCAATTTCAAAGACATTTTCAATGTCTCCATTATTAATAATTTTGTAAATTATTTCTCCATTCTCATCTGGATCTTCATCACTTGCATGAACAGTTACAACTTCACTTCCTACACCAACATTTTCAAAAATAATTTTTGTATACAAATTTTGTTCAAACTTAGGAAAATGATCATTCACATCTTGCACATAAATAATTAAAGAAACATCTGAACTGCGTCGAGGTTTACCAGAATCAGTGGCAACAACTTTGAAATAATGCACAGGCATCGATTCTCTATCTAACTTCTGACTGGTTGTTATCTTTCCATCAGCAGGATTAATTTCAAACATGCTCTGACTTCTTTGATCTTTGGTAGCAAATAATGAATAAGTAATCTTTCCCATATCTCTATCATCTGGATCAACAGCAAATATTCCAACAGATAGGACAACTCCTGGAGGTAATTCTTCCGGTACATTTGTAATGTATTGAGTGGAATTGAAAAGCGGTGGCCTGTTGGTTACAGCTCTTTTTTTCCTTCTAGTTAATAATTTGTTATTTAAAAATTTCAAATCTCTACTAGTGTCTGATTGCTGTTTCAAATTTAAATGCAATTTTAGTTCACATAAATGTAAACTCTTTTCTAAAGTTTGAGTGTTCAGTAATTGGGAATGTGAAATAGAAGATGATGAAATGTTGATAAAAGCATGATTGACTACAAAGCACCTTGGTTGATTAAACACATTTTTCAATAAACATTTCCTGTTTTTGATCACATATTTTAACAGGATAAAAAAATTTGATATCTTTTTTAGAGATCTAATTGACAGATAGACTTTGCTATCATATTCTACTTTTGAAACATCCATAATAACTGATCTATCATAAAATAAAATGCTACAATTCAGATGAACTTTAAGAAACTGCACACAGCTTAATTTGGTTCGAAACAAATATTCAGAGCTGTTTAATGATATGTCAAAAGGACAAGTACTATTGTAAGAATAATTTAATGGAAGTATATTTTTTTCTTCACTAAAAAATTGAACTGTGAAAAGCATTGGAAAGAATGAAGAAGATTGGCTTGAATTCTTAAGCATTAGTAATAAGCATGAAGCAAGCCATACTAATGCTACTGTACTCTTCATCATTAAGTAATCAGGCGCTAAACCAGAAAAACATAATAATCTCTCTAATAGTAAATTCAGCTGTTAACTTTTCTGCATTTTTATTTTATCAGCAACATCTTCTAAGTTTTTAATTCAAAATTCAATTTTTTTTTACTAAGTATGAGTAACTTAACTTCTAAAGTTAACATTGAAAATTTAAATTTATTAATTTGATTGACAATAAATCGAGTGTTTAATATTAATTATTATTATTAATTATATAAAATTATAAAACAAACAAATTAACAAAGTACTAATTATTAATTAACAAATTTTTTTATATGATTTATAATTTTTTTATGCATATCATCTCTTTATTTATTTTAATTTAAAATTAATATTGAATCTGCTTTCTTTGCAGAATAGAACTGTAAGTGTGTGGCAGAACTTTTTGTGTAATATAAATAAAATAAAACATAGTATAAAAAAAATAAAATTGAAATAATTTTTCTTCTTTTTTAATTTTTGTTAATTAAGTTTAATAGTTTAATTAACTTTAAAGTTTAATTTGATTAAACTACATTCATTTACTTTACTTTAAAATAAAGTAAACTTAATTATAAATTATTAAAATTGGTTCAATTTTGAAATTTAATTAAATAAAATATAAAATAATTTTAATAAATTAAATTAAAACTATTAAAGTTTATTAAATTAATAAATTAAAATATTTAAAAAAGATAATATAAAAATTTTAATTAAATTATAATTAAGTTTTTTAAACGATAACCATCAAAACAAATTAACAATTTTTTAAATCAGTTTTTAAAAAAAAAATTTAATTTTAAAAATTTGATTAAGGAAAATGTAATTTGAGACATTTAACTGAAATTTAAAAACATTTTGTGCTGCTGTTTACAGTTTAATTCAGCCACTAAATCTCAAGTGAATTTAAATTAAAAATAGGGATGGGTAGTTGTGTTTATTTTACTTTTTTCTAACCTATGTAATAAAGTAGCATTAAGTAGCATTTTGACTTATTTACAAAATTTGTCACCAGCTTCATCAATCTATGTTTGAGTACTGGAAAATTTCCTGTTTTGTACAAACATTCCCTGGTGATACCATGAACCTCTTTTTAAAAATATGGGTTGAATACAAGCGATGAAAATAACTCAGTCTCAAATCTCCCGTTTATGTCAAAAATTATTGAACAAATAGTTGCTAATGAACTGGTTAGCCATTAGAACAAAATTGTTTGTTGCCTGTGCATCAGTCAGGATTCAGACAACATCACTCAAAAGAGACAGCTTTATTGGATAAATATTGTCTAAATACTTTTCAATGACAGATACGAAAAATGTCTCTATCTTAGCGCTTTTGGACATAAGTGCAGCGTTTGATTGCGTCGATCATGGTATCATGCTGCTAGACCAGCCATCATTACGTTTAATAATAATTGGTTCAAGAAATGTTTCTATTGCTGGCCCCAGTATGGAATAGTCTACCGGGCTACATGCGACAACCTGGTCTCTCCATCATGAATTTCAAAAAGCTGTTAAAGACTTATCTCTTCAATCTATAAAAAGGTTTTTCTTGACATAAATTGTTTTAGCCGTTGTTAAGAGCGCTTTTGAGATAAAAATTTAAAAAGAGTATACTAATCATATATATAAAATATTCTATATTTATATTCTATATATATGATACTAATGTATCCCGAATATATTTAGATTATCTCGTTTATCCTACCCCAAAATAACAATATTGTGCTAACTTTAATAACCACGTAGAAAACCTACAAAAAAGTGTTTACGTTCTATTTTTCAATTCATGATCATTATAATCTCAAAATTTTCAATTGAATATAATGATATTATGACACAATTTCTGGCGAGTGAAATTAATTAATTATAAGTCTTAATTTGTTTGTATTTGATAATTTTAATTAAATACAAAAATGATATATATTACAAATTTCAAACTAAAAATATTTCAGAAAAATTTTTTATGGAAAATATCCGGTTAAACAGAAGCTTCTTTTAGAAGTCATCCTAGAACGGTATCCCAGCATATTTATATTTCTGTTACAGTTACTTCATACCAACTCAATATTTTTCTAACCTTCGTTAAATATTTTTTTCATAAAACACAGTTGAATGATAAATACATAAAACATGTTACTATGCAATGACTCGTAGTTTTATAAGTTTATTCATTACACACAGCAATGACAGATTTTTCCTAACTCAGGTGCGTTCAGATAGCGATTTGGTTGAGCACTTGTTATGTTATTTTCATTTGTTTGCTAAGGTTTTCAAGCTAAGCCTGAAACAGTCATTTACTGCGATGCACACGTGAATTTATTTGTATGTGCAAACTCCGCATCGTAACAATCACGGGCACAGCCCGCAGACGTCCCTGCGACTTCCAACAGATGACAGCATTCGAAGCAGGTCATCGCGCATTAACAAGAACAACAATGACGTGGCATGGGACGGGGCACGCGCAACGTCTGCTAACATACCAGCTAACCCGCGCCATTAATGTATTAATAATATAGTACTTAGCTCTGACGACGCAATGTAGCTACTATCTTTTTAAATTAAAAAAAAAACAACTATTTTGAAAAATTACACCCACCCAGATATCACAAGAGAATCATTCAACAATTTCTTGAAGTTATCAGTACAGTAACGAGACTTTATGTTATATAAATATATAAGCATATATATATATATATATATATATATATATATATATATATATATATATATATATATATATATATATATATATGCATAAGTCATGCGTTGTAGATATTGTCAACATGCATTGCATATATTCCTGTGCAAGCAAACAACGGGCATACACACACATCACACAGACACGCACTCATCAGCGTATGTAGATTGTGCAATGTATGCAGTGTAGAGCATTACAGTACACAATGTACATTGTACAGCGGCTATATAAATAGCTAGCTATGTTACAGATGAATAGTACTTATAGTATGGAATGCTTGTTGACGTCTCAGATCATGTTCAAAACAATGCAGGTCTGGTGAGGTAGAATATTATACAACCAACAGATAGGTTGGTCTTTATTAACTGTTACCTTTGTATAATGAATGAATTGAAGCATTAATAGTGTTGCCAGTGCTGTAGTTGTTGTTGTTGTTTTAAGATTGTAGAAATTCATTATTGTCTGTTCATTGATTGCTTGAACTAGATCTGTTCATCCATTTTATCACAACATAGTTCTATATAATTAGTTAGTAGGATCAGTAACACTTACATACACCTACATCCCTCATCATCATTTTCATCATCATCATCTTCTTCTTCATCATCATCGTTTATTAAAGCGCAGATGAATTGATAAATAAAATAATTTTAATTTAGTTTGATCACCATATAAATACGGATACAAACATTCTGATCCTGCTCCCTTCCGGCGGATATATTGTTTTTTTTAAACGCAGGATTCATCATCATCAACACCGCCAGAAACCTAGAGTGACGAAGTTCGTACCATGCTGTTCTAACTGTTACAACTGGTTCTGTATTATATAAATTTAAGAAATGTAGAAAGTATCAAACAGTATCTCGATGGTTGAAAATAGTATTTATTTTTAATCCTATTATTATTTCTTTTAGCATTATAATTCAGTCTATTATTATAACATTAATTAATCAATACTATGCCAGCCAACCACATCCCATCGCCAATTGTGCACGAAATTTTATACGCAAAAATATATTAATCACGTTCTTTAGCAAACTGCTATTTAATTGTGCGTGCGTGTGTGTGTGCGTTTTGTTTGTGTGAATGTTTGTGTGTGCTTCTATGTCTCGGTTTTTTATGTATATATTTACACACACACATGTGTGTATTTTTGAATGCATGCACGCATTCACATATATATGTGTATATATGTGTATGTACATATTTGTATGTTTTTGCTATTGTATATACAAATGTATGTGTATTTTATATGCTAATGTTAGTATGGGTGCCTGTCTGTTTGTCTGTCTGCATGTATGATGTTAAATGTATATATGTATGCATGCATAATTGTATCTATGCGTGTACCTGAAGATTGAAACGTTTCTACGCAATATTATATTTGCTCAACAATATTTATACCCATCTCATTTGAATATATGCGAATTTTGCTACTCGCTTAATATGAAAGTGTCTGTTTATTAGGCTCCATTGACATTTTTTATGTTAATTTTATGTAATTGTTTTAGATCTAACTGAAAATTTAAAATGTATGATGTAATCACTCTTGATCTGTTTACAAACCGTTTCCATGCACTTGTTTTGAATCTATGTTTGTAATGTAATAGGATGCATGTTTTGTTACTGATCATGCACTGTTAATAAGGTTTAGCAGCACTATTGCGCTTACTGCGTGTGTGTGTGGGTGTAAGTTTATGTTTGTCTTGTTTTGTTTGCTTGTATGTATATTTATGTTTGTTTTGTATGCTTGCATGCATGTTTATGCATTTCCTTGATGTTACTAATTTCAAATTTTACTTTACATTTGAAGTTTTTTTTTATTTTCACTGATGGCATATGTTGTTAATTAACTTAAACGTGAACGGATTGATAATATAAAAATTACGCGCTTCATTAAATAATGAGAAAAACATTTGTTTATAATTATAATTTTTTAGACGAATAATAAATAAAAATTATGATAGGAAGGAGAGAGTAGTAGGACTCGCCCACCAACAACCGCCCACTCCAAATTATCATAATCCTATCAACATTCCAATCACAAATGCTTATTTAGTTGATTAATAATGTTTCATCATTCATCATGAAGTTCGTCACAAACCCACCGTGTATCTATATTCATCATTACATACGCACACAGGCAAACATATTTCATCATACATTTGTACACATAAGCATATAAGAATCTAAGATGTCACATATAGTCATACGAATACCCACACACACACACACACACACACACACACACACACACACACACACACACACACACACACACACACACACACACACACACACGTACAAGCTTACACAAACACATTTAAAACCACATGGGAACTCACAAATGCTTATTTTGTTGATTAATAATGTTTCATCATTCATCGCGACCGACTACATCAGCGACATCGTTCGTTACCATCGAAATAAGCTTTACGTCTCCTAGCTAGGCAGGCACACATTCTTCGTCACTAAATAAATTCACTTGAGTGTGTGTGAGTGAGTGAATGAGTGAGTGAGTGAGAGAGTGAGTGTGTCTGTGTGTGTTTTGCTTTTGTATGAGGGGAAAGGAGAGGACAGAAAAAGAGAGTTAAAAAAAGAGAGAGTACATAAAATAAGGTTATATTTATATGAATGTGGTTATAAATGTTCTTAAGTGTTGGTGATGGCCATGCTAAATGCCAGATGTTGCTTTCATCTAATAAAATTTCAACTAGATACAACCACACTTCTTCACGAGTACATCATCAACGTTTTGATCATCAGACAGATCATCATCTACTTGTATTTTATTTAACTAATTGTATTCATCGAATTAATTTTATTTTTCATTTAAAATAAACGCTTACAACAGATGCTAGGTTTTAATTTGCCAGACCTACGTACACTACACGTCAAGCATAATAATATGAACAAATGTAGAAATACAAACATGCCAACCAATTATTCTGCAAACGTACACACCCAGACATACATACATACATACATACATACATACATACATACATACATACATACATACATACATACATACATACATACATACGTACGTACGTACTACGTACGTACGTACACGTACACGACACATATAAATTCAATGTAACATTCACACACTATATACAAAATATAGACTGCATGTGTGTTGTGTGTGATAGTGTGTGCGTGTGATAGTGTGTGCGTGCATGTGTGAATGCGTGCATGCATGTCGTTCTTTCACTCACATACACATCAAGAAGTTTAGCAGTGATATAAAACATGCATGCTGCCAGCACATGCACAGAGTTCAGATTTTGTGTATTTACTCATATGCATCTGTGATTGAGTCATTTATTTAGTTATTGGGATTATCATCATCGTCGTCATCATCATCCACATGTAATTTGCGGTGATTTATAGATAGCGATGTAAATGTTATCGTCATCATCATAATCATCATCATCATTATTATCATCATCGTCGTCGTCGTTTTCATCATCATTATCATCAATGGCAGCTGCAGCAATAAATGACATTGACATCGCTGGTTTTTATATCTGATATCACTTATATCATTCACCTTCAACCTTTTGAAATGTTCACTCATAATTTTATTTCACGTTCTATCTATTTATCTGTCTATCTATCTATCCATCTATCTGTCCATCTATCTATCCATCTATCTATCTATTTATCTATCAATCCATCCATCCATCCATCCATCCATTCATCCATCCATCCATCCATCCATCCATCCATCCATCCATCCATTTATCTATCTATCTATCTATCTATCTATCTGTCCATCTATCAATCTATCTATCTATCCATCCATCTATCTATCTATCTATTTATCTGTCCATCTATTTATCCATCTATCTAGCTAGCTAGCTATCTAGAGGCAATCGATAAGCCTCTGATGTTTAAATGAAAAAAAAAATTTAAATGAACACAGTGCCGTGATTTTGTTGAGGGGATCAATAAAATAATTTAGCTTGTGTGTGTACGTACGTGCGTGTGTGTGTGTGTACGTGTGTGTGCATATGTGCGTGTATGTATTGTAATTATAACTGTAAATGAAATGTGTTATTTGTGTAGCGTTAGTCATGGTCTCCTAAATAATATCCTACTGGTCGAGAAACCAAATGAAATTTTGTGTGTGCTCGACCCAAACTGACCCAAATTGTTTGATAAATAAATGCTACTCGCTATATAAGTTGCTGTTGTTTACTTTTGAACGTTTTGATTTCGTTTATCAACGCTTGTATTGTGTTGTTGATTTTGCTTTTTATTTCGCTGATTTATTTAAAAATATTAAAGTTATTAAAAATATTTTATTTTAAATAATTAAATTCAAAATGGTTAATAAATGTTGTGTTTATGGCTGTAAATCTGGGTATACGTCAGAAAATCGTTCGGAGTCTGAGATTACCATTACGGATAAATAGAAAATCACGTTTCATAAATTTCCAATTGATGATGAAGAATTAGCAAGAAAGTGGTTGAAAGATATCGCGAGAAAAGATTTTCATCCTTCGCAACATACCAGGGTTTGTTCGAAACATTTTACTCCAGATGATTTCATCACATCATCTCAGGACAGCAAAATCGCTCGTCAATGCCGAAACAACAAGGATACGTTTTTGATAAGACTTAAACCCGATTCGGTTCCAACTATTTTTTCTAATCATTCAAAACATATGTTGTGTGGAAAAACTACATCAAGATCAGGTAATGCGC